TTTCCCCCCCCCCCCCCCCCATCTCTCTGATTTGCTACAACCGTATGTCCCACCACGCTCCCTGAGGTCAGCGGACCAGTTGCTCCTCACAGTTCCAGGAACTGGAAGTGCAGAGGAACTTAAGCGCAGAGGTGACAGGGCCTTCTCTGTAGCAGGACCAAGACTCTGGAACGAGTTACCTCTGCTTGTCAGACAGGCCCCCTCCCTCTTGGTTTTCAAGTCCCGTTTAAAAACTCACTACTATTCAATAGCTTTCAACACAAGATGATCTGTGTTTTGATCCTATATGCTCCACACTGGTTTGTCGTCATTATCTGCATCGTTTTTATGTCTATATTCTGATTTACCTCATTTTGTATTTTGCTTTGTGTGTTACCTGTTGTTTTGTCTGTACAGCACTTTAGTTGGCCTGGGTTTGGGCATGGGCTGCCCCCTGTAGAGGGCGGGTACATGTCTTGGACCTGGGGGGTATAGAGTGCGTATCGGGAATAAGAATGAAATGTATCGTTATTGTATGTCTTTGAGTGAGTGAATGTGAGACTGAGGTTGGAATTGTGTGATTGTGTCTGTGTATGAATGGGTATTTGTTAGGCCGAGACTCGGACTGCCCCCTCTTTGATACAACTGGGGTGCTTGGCATCGCGCCCCTATCACGCGGCCCCCTGGTGGGGTGTGCCCTTGCCTGCCGGCGCGCTTGGGGCCCTTGGTGTCGGGGGCTGGGCGCTTGGGCGTGTGTCGGCTCGGCCTGGTGTCTGCCTGGTGGGGCTCGGGTCCTCTGGCCCTGACGGGCCTTGGCCTGGATGGTGTGAGTCCTCGGTGCCTGGGCCTCGGTGCCCGGACCTGGACCTACATCGGTGCGGCGGGTTCCGACGGAGGCCTATGAGTTTGTCGCTGTTGGCCCCGGGGGGTCACTGTATGTGGTCGCTGGTAGGGATCTTCCGGTTCTCCCCTGTGGTCCGTTCTGGGGGGTGGGTGAGTGGTTCGTCCTGTGTGGGTGGCTCTGGGGGCTCCGCGGTCGGGGTCCCTCCTGGGGTCTTGGGCTCTGGTCCCCCCTTTTTCGTCTGCCTCTGGTCTTGGGGGTCGGGTCTCTGCTGCTTCACAGTTACTATTAAATGTTCTATTAGAGAAGCCTTATACACTTATGCATGCTCACAACCACACACAAATAGAAGCAGGGATGCTTATGTAGGCTTTATATGTAGATATATAGATATGTATGTGAATGTATATTCATGTGTATGTATGTATGTATGTATATAGGCGTAGGTATGGGTATATATATTTATGGAAACTTACTGCAAAGCCATGAATATTTTAAGTTCTTTATACATATGTATTTTGTTGCTGTGTTTTGTCATGTTCTTTGCAGGTGAACAGACAGTGGCCGGGTGCTTTGCCGTGTGCTCTCTTTGTGTATATTTCTTATATTTTGGAGTCTTACTTTGTCTTTTCTTTCTTTCTATCCTATTAAAAAAAAAAAAAAAAAAAAAAACCCTACACTAGATAGTCACTAGAATAAATATTTCATAATAATGGTGTGGAGAGGATGGCTGTAAGGGGAGAAGGGAGGCCATCAAAAAAAGAAGAGAAGAAAAAGAAAAAAAAAGAAAATAACTCAACAACAACAGCAGTTTTTATGCTCCATCAGACAGGGCATGTTGAAACATGCCACCGACGGTATAAACAGTTTGGTGATGAAATGAGACTCAGAAACAAATATTATTATTATTTTGTGTGTCGGGGTGATGACGTATTCTGTTTTGCTTCCGCCCCGTAGCTCGTGTTGCTCGTGACGCAAGCTAAAATTTAGTTTTAGCTCTAAAAAAGAAAAAGGCATTTTTATTTTCCACAAAGTTTTTACAGACTCCAAAGAATCATGAAGGACAGTTTCATGAGGTTTGTTGCTACAGTTTTACAAATAATGTTAAAAATGAGGCTGAGGTGGAACAAAGACGAGTGACAGGAAGCTAAAGTTAGCTGTTAGCTTAACTTCCTGTAAATAATCTGATCAAACAAAAAGGCCTACAGAATATTACTGAAGTAACTGTTAGTAAACAGGACACATGTAAAGTGTTTGCAGATAATAAACTAGTTAAAGTGAAGTTTTGGGGCCTGAAATGGAGCCATGTTGGATTTAGCATGTTGTTTGCTTCAGTTTTGGCTTTACGTTCATAAATGCTATGATGGAAACAACAAAAATCTGTTTTATTCAGGATTATAATCCAGATTATAATCCAGGCTTTATGTCAGTGGTGCCTATTGAAAATAATAATGTTTGGAAAATCCGCACTACTTAATTAAAAAAAACTATTTTTTATGTTTTTGTCACATTTCAGTTCGATCCAGACATGAGACAGTTTCTGCTGCTTCTAAAGTAAAAAGTTTGACCTTCAACTCTTGTAGTTTGACCTGCTGACCTCTAAAGATTAATTATTGAACATTTCGGGAGTTCATGTGGACACAAATGAACCCAGCTAGATACAGTTCACAGATAAGGACTGTTTGTCCAGTGATGCCAGGAGACGAGGACTAAACTGTTTCACACAAAGTGATTATAAAAATAGAACCAGTAATTATTTGTTGAAAAATCATGCATCATTTAAAAAAGCTGCTCTTTATGATAAAGTGATTAAATGCTATCTTCTCCCTTCAGATCTTTAGGGTTTGTGAGGTTATCTGTTCACTAATTAACAAAAAAAATGTTCTGGTTGTTTCAGCCACAAAACCCAAATGAATATCCAGATTTAGAGTTTTTATAGAACAAATGAACATTAAGAATGAACAACAGACGCTCATGTTGTTTACCTGCAGCGTCTGGGACAGAAACCACCTGAAGGCATCACAGGGAAACAAGGTGACGTCATTTATTAACTATTCAAGTTCAAGTTTCTTTATTGTCATTCACGTCACATGTGGTACATGAGGTGGAATGAAATTGTGTACTCAAGGTCCCAGTTACTCCCCAAAATAACAAAAACTTGAACTTACCTATTAAACTTCAGGAAGTGTTTTGTCTTCAGCTCACCATGCTCAATAATCCAGGTATAAAATCCATCAATGTCCAGTCAGGTCATCTGGACAGGTTTTTGTATTTTTTGTGTGCTGAGACTTTTCGCCCTCCATCCAGAACGCTTCATCAGTCTGAGGAAACGCCAAACAAAACTGCTTCTCTCTCAACAGCTTGCTCCAATGTGGAAAAAAAAAACCCAGTTATGTTGGTGCTCATATCTGGGGCACGCCCTCTCCTCCAGTGCCCGCCCTCTCCCTCGTCAACAGTCATGTCAAACTGGTTCAAAACACCAAAGTCCATGCTCGTGCTTTCTCTTCTGCTGATCTAATCTCATCTCTTTTTGCTCACTCGACAAGTTTTTCTTCTGTTTCTGATCCAGAACTGGAACATTAAACTGAGCTCTTCTTCCTGTTTACTGTTGGGACTCTCAGCTCGTGGTTCTGATGATGTGACTGTGTGGGTTTTACTCCTCAGGAGGAACAGCTGTACAGTTCGATCCACTCACCTCCTGGAGTTTATCTTTATGTTGTGTGCCGTTAGTTTTCAGGCTGTAACTGAGTCAAACACGAGGAATGAACCAGAATGTAGACGAGGTCTGGATCTGACTGTGGTTTGTTTCTGTTTGCAGACCTGCTGTGCTGCTGCTGCTGCTGCTGATCTGTTGGAAACCAGGTGAGCTCCTCTGGATATTTGTTCATGTTTCCTGCAGCCGTCAGGTGTGTCAGTCAGGTCATGTGACCTCAGAGACGTCACTGTGTTTGGATTTATTAAACTTTAACAATCAAACATCAGGTTAGAATTTAAATATATCTGAGTCAAAAACAACCGTGCAGATGTTGTGAGATGTTAAAATGATGCCATGTTTGGTCTATGCAGAGGGTTTCTGACTAACTGTAAGAAATGGGCGGAGCATCAGTGGAATTATCTGCAGGTAGGAAGTCTGTTAGTGTTCAACATCAGAAGATATGCAGAAACTGTTGGAAACACAGTTGGATGTTTGTTAGACTGACAACCAGTCAGACGGGTCCAAATGGTCCCACAGAGACCAGGGTTCAGTCCAGTTCCTCATCTATCTAAAATCCAAAGTTTAAATAAAATCAGGAGGCGACTGAAACTAACGGACCAACAGGAAAACAACAAGCAGGCGAGTTTCAACCGTTTCATGATGCAACCTAAAAACCAGTTTATGAGCAAACATTCCAGTTGAAGTGTTCGTCCTGTCATGTGTCTCAGGTAAATCCAGTCAGCAGCAGTTCGTTAGAAACCAGTTTAAACTGGATCTTCAACAAAGTCAACAGTTGTTGTGTTGAAGTGAAACAAACAGCTGCTGAGCTTCAACGATTTCCATGTTTTGGCTCAGACTACTTCCTGGATGACTTCGGATGAAACATAACCAAATGTATTTAAAAGCTGTAGTCAGACCTGTCCTGCTCCGGTTACCATGGTTACACAGTGACGGGCGTCACCTGTACAGAGCAGCAGGGAGGTTTCTGAACCCGATCGGCTGAATGTTTCTACAAACAAATGAAAAGTTTCTCTGCTTTAAAGGGCGACTACGTTTTAATATTTCCTCTGAGACTCAATAAGGGTTTTGTCTTCAGAAACCACGTCGAATTTATGAGGAAAAATATTGTTTTGGAAATACAGTAGTCCCTCGTTTATTGGTCCGAACCCGCCCGCAGTAAGTGAGATTACGTGAAGTAGCGACATTATATTTATGTTATTATTTGTATGTGTTTTAAGGCTTTACAAACACTTTCCACACTCTTGCAATGTTTTAAACTCTTAAACGTACTAATTTTAACAATATACGTACAGTACTGTCAATGTAGCTACTAAATTTTACTTACCGGGCTCTGCAGAACCAGAGCGGCTCGGTTCCGGTTCAACCCGAGAGATAAAAAAATTTAAAAAAGTCCCGGTGCTGCATGACTGAAGCCCGCCGCCCCGTCCACGTGGATGTGCGAGTGCTGCCGCTCCAGGAAGTACACGCCACGCGCAAGGCTGCCCCGGATTCAGTCCACCACTTCTGGTCCGGTCCAAACCAGTTTTGTGCGACCAAAACCAGACCGAGCCCCGCCGCGGTCTGTCGCCTGCAGCTCCCAGGATCCGGGTCACACTGAGTCCGGATCAACAGCAGCCCAGCTACTCAGCAGTGAATGAGTTCAGCTTCAGGATTATTTGTCACTTTCCTGCCAGGTCTGCGAGCTTACCCTTACTTCGGCCTTGCCCTCCATTTGCAAAAAGCGACTAGAAGCACTGTTGAATTCTGGGAAGTTAACTGTTGGCTTCTGGGTAACGTAGTTCGTTAGACTGGCAATAACTGTGTATGCTTAATGAAAGAAAACTATAAAATGGCAGCGCCTTTTTTTTATTATTTATTTTTTTTGTCATGTACAATATTATGGACTGTACGTCCACAATCCGTGATAAGAGTGAGTCCTCTGCGGGCGGACGGACCTTAATTGTCATTAAATGTTTTCAATTCAATTCAATTCAAAAATACTTTATTAATCCCAGAGGGAATTTAAGTGTTGTCGTAGCTCCTCATCCTGGTTTCATTCAAGAGTTGTTATAGATGCTGATAGCTGTGGGCAGGAAGGATCTCCTGCAGTGAAGCCGAAGAATCTGGCCACTGATACCGATCCGTCCACCCAGATCCAGCTTGCCGTCAGATCCGGCGGGCCTCTTGGTCCTCCTGGGCAGCAGGATTGCCCGAATGCCAGACAGAATTCCTCCCTGAGTGATGGCCACTCCTCCCAGCAGTGTGCAGAGCTCCTCACGAGCCGAGTTTCTCACCAGCTCCAGGATCTCGGTGGCCAGGTACTCGAGCACCGCCGCCAGGTTGACGGGAATTTGTCCACAGCGCCTCCTTTTCAACTCATGATGAAATATTTGAGCTTTTGAGATGTTAATCAACTGCTCTTTGTTGTTAAAAAAAAAAACAAAGCATTGTTGCTATGGTTACGCATCATAACAAATGTCCAAAAGTAAAAAGGTTTAAGTAAAAAATCCTTCCAGCTGCACAGCATCCGATACCAGAGGAAACGATCATCGTAAAGCAGCGATATACATCCAGAAAAAGAGGAATTAAAGTTTTCAAACGCAGTAAATCAGAATGAAAGTAACAGAGCTGCTCCAACACGCGTTACTTAAACACTTGAAGGTTCTGTTAACAAGGAAAACATGTGACGAGCAACCTCAAGTTACACGCCAGCAGTTTCTTCATTCTTCGACTGAAAACGTTCCTGATTATTAGTTTCAGATCTTTGATTAATTTTGAGATGTTTTTACAGGTCATTAATTTTTTTTTTTTTATAATATGAGAAATGACAGCAATTTATAAGTTAAGAAGTTAGAAGTGAAAATATTTTATGTGGAAAGATACTGGAACTTTTAACATTGTGGTCTACAGTTCATTACTGTCCTGGTAATCGCAGCTTTGGATGTTTTTAATGATCCGAGAGAAAGTTGAAGCTGAGAATGGAGCATGCTCAGACCCAGATCTTATCCTGAGTCTTTAACCTCTGAATTTTTCTGTCGTCCCTCAGTGAGTTCCCTGGATGTTCCCATTCAAGGCTTTCTTGGAGGAAACATCACTCTTTCCTGCATCTGTGAAGAACCTTTACCAGATAAAGTCGATGTATACTGGACTGACAAAAGCAACGCCCGTACTGTGCTGTACATCATAAAAAGTGAACCAAAGTTCGATTCCCAGCACGAAAAATACAAAGGTCGAGTGTATAGCTCCGTGGAGGACTACAAGAAGGGGAACTTCTCCATCATCATGATGCGTCTACAGCAGGATGATGCTGACACGTATGAGTGCACCATCCCAGCAGTGTACTTAGTGAAGGTGGTTACACTGAAGGTTTCAGGTCAGTTTAACCACATCAGGGGTGACAGCACTCAAAACAATCCACATCTGTATGTAAAGTTGTTTGGCACATTTATTGCTATCATCTCAGCATTGAGGTTAGAAGCTACAGTTCTTGATCAATTGAAGAGACCGCTCCAAAATGGTTACTTTTCATAATTTTCTCTGATTTTACTGACATTTAATTCAAATTCAAATTCAAAAATACTTTATTAATCCCAGAGGGAAATTATTTTGTTGTTGTAACTCGTTATCCTCATTTCATTAAGAGATGTTATAGACACTGATGGCTGTAGACAGGAAGGATCTCTTGTAAAGGTCCATCCCACAGTGGATCCTAAGAAACTGGCTGCAGATGCCGTCCGATCCGTCCACCCAGACTCGGCTGGCCTCTCGGTTCCCCTGGGCTGTAGGACCGCCTGAATTCTTGGCAGAACTCCTCCCAGAGCGATGGCCACTCCTCCCAGCAGTCTGCCGAGCTCCTCGTCACTGTAGACAGCCAACTGTAGGTGCTGAGGGACGATGCTGTCCTTCCGCTGTCATAAGCTGTGTTTCCTGCTAGTTCCAGGATCTCAGTGGTCAGGCACCCGAGCACAGCCGGCAGGTAGACGAGAACGCGTCCACAGAACATCCTTTTCAACTCATTTGAGATTTGGGGCTGTAGTTGAGATATTATTTGAGCTTTTGAGATGTTAATCAGCTGCTGTTGGTTGTAGAAAACTGCCTTGTTGCCATGGTTACGCATCATAACAAATGTCCAAAACTAAAAAAGTTTCAGTAAAAATCCTTCCAGCTGCTCATCATCAGATACCAGAGGAAACAGTAATCCAAAAAATATGATTTACATCCAGAAAAAGAGGAATTAAAGTTTCCAAAAGCAAAATCTAGTACCACCACATCAGGGGTGACATATGTGACATAGTACCGTATTTGCCGCTGTACACGTCACACCGCCGTATAAGTCGCGTCAGTCCAAATATGTCTAATAAAGTGAAAGGAAAAAAAACAAATAAGTTGCTTCGCTGTATAAGCTGCATCTATTATGCGTCACCGCTGACAACCAGGAAATGTGAGCCGGTGTTGTGCCAAAAACCAATCAATTAACTTTTCCTTAATAAACACACTTTAATCAGAGAGTGTTGGTTGTCATACACATCTCGTGGTACATGTGGTGGAACGAGATTATGGTAAATGGACTGCATTTATATATCGCCTTTCTATATTATCCAGATACTCAAAGCTCTTTACAACACAATCTGTGTCCTCATTTACCCGTTCATACAGCACTCTACTAGATCTCTACAAAGCTAATTGAACAAATCATTCTAAAGAGACTAATCAGATCTTTATCACATTCATACACCGATGGGGACACACATCGGAGGCAATGAGGGGTTCAGTGTCTTGCCCAGGGACACTTTGGCATGTGACTACTGGTGGATTTGAACCCCCAACTAGAGGATGACTGCTCTAACCACTCAGCCACAGCCGCCCCTGATTATGTACACACGGTCCCAGTTACATCCCACAATAAAATGTAAGAGAAAAACAATAATAAGATCTAAGATATGAACTAAGAAAAACATAAACTAAATATACACTAAGCACTAACAGCATAAAAACAATACGCCGAACTTTAATGGTGAAATCAGCCGCATTTCGCCTGGGCGGCGCAACGAAATGCAGCTGATTTAGCGTTTGCTTCAGGAGTTCCGGAGCGAGGTGAAGCTGGCTTGGTATGGCAATCCAAGTATCTCATTAATAGCCACTTTTACCTGTTAATGAGACGTTTGACTTGCCATAACGCTCGAGGACCCTCTAGTGGCTGAAAATGGTCATGTTTAGTATTTTTCATGTAAGAATGAATGAAATCATCAGATCTCAGCCAAAACTTGGGTTATAAATATGGAGAAAAAAATGTATATTAGTCTCTTCGTGTATAAGTTGCAGGACTTGCAAATTTATACAAAAAGGTGCAACTTATACGCTGGCAAATACGGTATGTGTTTGTGTAAAACGAACAATTCTGTTTTATTCAATAATCTACTGACAAAATGTATTCCAAATTACAAATAAAAACATTTAGAACATTTTTAAATTTCTGAAGGGTCTTAAAGTCATAAATATATATATTATTTGCCTTAAAAACTCTAAATTGTTTTTCCATATTTTCCCTTTTAGGTCTTTAGATTCCACACATAATATACAGTTGTTAGATGTATATGTAAATTCAGTTCAGTTTATCTATACAGCACCAAGTCACAACAGAAGTCATCTCAGGGCACTGAACAGAAACATTCATATAAAAATAATAATTTAACGTTATTTATCTGAGGAGCAGACTGCTTTGAATTTAACTACATCACAGAACTCTCATCTTGAGCAAACACGAAGGCGACAGTGGAAAGAAATAAACTCCCTCATGAGGAAGAAACATTTAGCAGAACCAGGTTCAGGACACTTGGCCATCTGCTTTGACTGGCTGGGTTCGAGAGGAACAGGAAGGAGGAACAAATACACAATGGCAGGTCAAGAATCACGTTAATATAGAAATAGTATCAAATGAAAACTGTTAAATTTTAACTATTCATTTAAGAAAATGAAGTCGGTTTGTCCTCCAGTAGTCTAAAGTCAAGGCAGCATGACAAGCCACCCCTAATTATAGGATCTATCTAAAATGAAAATCTTAAGCCCAGTCTTAAAACTAAATGCTTATTAGATAACATTTGTTAGGCTGCCTCCAGATCCAGGCCTCCCTTGCAAAAGAAATCTGTGATTTCAATGGGATTTGCCTGGTTAAGTAAAGGTTAATAAATAAATAAACTTAGATAATCTAGGACTGTCTGTTTTGATTTAGAATATTCCGTCAACTAATTTTCTCCCCAAATCTCAATCTTTTAGCTCATTTTATCTTTAGCAGACATTTAACAGTCGTTATATAATTGCGATAACCATCAGTGTTTCTCCTAGGTTACTTGCCTTTGCAGTGCGCTCATCTGAGACGGCTTATTTAGCATATTGCAGACGATACAACGTTGGTGGGATGCATCACAAACAACGAGTCCAGCTACAGGCAGCAGGTGGAACACCTGGAGAGCTGGTGCAAAGAGAATAACCTTCACTTCAATGTGAAGAAGACGAAGGAGATGGTCGCTGACTTCAGACGGATCAAAAACACCTACACCCTCTGAACATAAGAGGATCTGCGGTGAAAGTGGTCTCCAGCTACAAGTACTTGGATGTACACCTGAATGACCTCAGCTGGAGCAACACCACCACCAGCCTGATCAAGAAAGTTCATCAGAGACTCTACTTCCTCAGACAGCTGAGACGAGCTGGTCTGGGAAGCTCAGTCCTCACCTCCTTCTACAGGTGTGCAGTGGAGAGCATCCTGTGCTCCAGCATCAACGTGTGGCATGGAGGCTGCACAGCTGCAGACAGAAAAGCTTTGCAGAGAGTGGTGAAGGCTGCACAGAAGACTGTTGGAGTCAGTCTCTCCACCATCACAGACATTTACACCTCCAAATGCAGGAAGAGGGCCACCTGCATCATGAAGGACCCCACTCACCCAGCACACACACTTTTTCCCCACTCCCATCTGGAAGGAGGTTAAGGAGAATTTTTTTCATTCAATCTTTATTTAAACAGGTTAATCCCATTGAGCCTTGGGGACTCATTTCCAAGAGAGACCAGAATTTTTGTCAGAGAGTGATAACAGTGGACAACAACAATAGACAATCATAAAAGATGCATACAACTGTTTTGAACAAGTTAAAATAAAATGGCAACCAAAAGGACAATCAAAAGGAAAAGTAGGTGACGTAGAAAACTAAAAACAAGAACATGTCTGCATTGGTTTTTGCCAGGAACTTAACAGATGTTTAAAGCCACTTAGAGAGCATTAAGTGTAGAACCACTAGACTGAGGAACAGCTTCTACCCTGAAGCTGTTAGATTCATGAATCTCTAACCAGAATAATCACTGTAATGCCACTTGCTTGTTGATATGTGCTGCTGATCTATTTCATGCTGCTGTGTTCATTCATACTCATCTGCTCACACAGACTCATGTTCTTGCTGCTGTTGTTCGGCACATTGTTTTTGCACTTGTAGTGTTTAGTGTATTCTTAGTTTAGCGTTTTTCTTCGTTCATATCTTACATCTTATTACCAATTTTCTTTTACATTTTAATACTTTTGTTGGATGTAACTGGGACCCTGTGTACACAGTTTTGTTCCATCATGTGTACCACGTGATGCGAATGACAATAAAGAAACCTTGACCGTGATCTCTTCTGAGATGAGTGCCCGAGTGGGTGGGGGGATACGTATGGGTTGCACGCATTTTGTGTGCTGACAGTTGTCAGCTGGGGAAACTGAAGTAAACGTCTCAGCACAAGGGAGACGGAGTGCTACCTCCTGCTTTTTATCTAGCGTGTCTGTATTGTGCACCACTTGGTTAGCGCTATGTCAGTGCTGGCAGTTGTTTAAAACCAGTTTCTCTTGTAAATGAGTCCTCGTGACTCAGCGAGACTTAACCTGGATAAATAAAGGTTGAATGACAAGGTGGGGCACCTGCCATAGTGGAAACACTGACCATATAAAAGGTTCAAGGTTCTTTATTGTCATTCGCATCACAACACTCAAATAAGATATACATTAAACAATAATAATGCACAACAATTTTGTATATTAAACATCAGTCTGACATATTGACTGAGTAATTGCAGCCGCCGTAGGTAAGAGTTAAAATTGTTCTCCGTTCATTGCTTCCTTTCTCAACTTTTTTCTCAAGGCTCTTGTCTGCATTCATTGATTCTTTCATTGTAGTTCTGTGAGGATTCAGATAGCAACAAAACCACAAATCCCCATATGTAGCAGTTCTGTCTAAAGTAGCGGTGTTCCGATACTGGTATTGGGCCCGTTAACAGCATTTTTACAAGTACTCGTATTTGTAAAAAAAATGCCCCTATACCTGGGACCGATACCGCTTATAGTGGTGCCATTTCCTCTTCCGCTGCGCAAGTGATCAAAGGTTAAAAAAACATGTCTGTAGTTTGGAGATATTGTAAGATAAACACGGATGATATAAAAAAAAAAAGTAGATTATCTGTCAGAAGGGTGAACAGCAGCAGTTTCAACACAAGTAGTTTGATGAAACACCTGAAGACGAAACACGAGGCAGAGTTCAGCGTTAGCTGCTGCTAGCAGCACATCACAACCAACGCTACAACGAGTTCTCCAAAAACATGGAAAAACGGCTCCAGACAATCTACGTGCCGTAAGCTCTTACCCAATCCACCGTTCTTGATGACCGTCTGTTTTCAGTGGCGGATGACTCTGGATTTCGTCGTCCTCTCAGCATATCGGAGGAGATTCCCAGCCGCCACCATTTTGTTGAAAAAACTTTGCGGAAGACGTATGGCTTCGTTAAAAAAAGCACATCCGCAGCCTGTTGCAGGACGTTTCTCCTCTCACTTGTGTGTTTGGACAAGCAGTGTGTTCACGATCTACTGTTAGTTTAACTGCACAGTGAAGGTTCAGTTCAGTAGGCAGGTCACTCGGTTCAGTTGACAAGGCACTGTGCCCTGCTTGTATAGTGGTAGAGGATACTGTTTCACTTTTTTTCCCTCTGCTTTTAAATTAATAATGTAATATTTAAAACTCCCAAGATTTGAGTCGTTTAACTTTTTATTCCCAACCGTTAACAGCTGAGAGTAAAACCTTCCAGCTGTAGTCTCGTTAGTGGACTAAGAATTTGCTGAAAGTCTCAAGTGTCTGATTAAAACTGTTGATTGTTTGTGTTGCAGGTCAACGTGTTGAATCAACGTCTGCACCAGTATCACCACCAGGTGGCGCTGCAAGCGCAAACGTCCTTCCTGTGGCTCTCATCCTTGCTTTGAGCTTGCTGCTCTGCTTCAGAAGTTTCAGGCACATTTAACTTTACATTTGTTCACGAAGATGCCTGTAGTCATTTCAAAGTTTATATCCGTCCTATATCGAGCAGTGCTAAACAGCTTTACGTACATAGCATGTGCGAGTGGAATTTAAAACGTGCTTCTGATTGGTCAAATCACTGCCTGCATCACTAGTGTCTGCTAATAATTGTTTTGTTTTAGTCCAAGTTCTCGTGTTGTGTTTTGTATTTGCGTTTATTTACCCAAACAGCACAATGAAGGTTTTATAAAGTGCCGGGAAAGACAACCGTCTAGAATTACCGTTAAGTTTTTTTATACTTATTTATTTAGTGCGCGTCTCTGCCCATACTAATTTTTATTTAGTTACTTTTTCGAGACCTTTTCTGATATGTTCAACTACCTAATGAGGACTAATGGTCCTAACTGCTTTAAGTGTGCCGTTTATTATTTTTGACTTTTTCCACAAATCATTTAAATTCTGCACACGCAAATAGATTTGATCAGGATTAAAACATAAAACGTGTTTTGTGTAATTGTATATAAAACCATGTAGTCCTTTTGGTTTAGTCTGGAACTTAAAAAATATCTAAACACCACGTTGCATCATAAACTATTGAATCTATGCAGTATGTACATTAATGAAACTTAATTTTATCCAAATTGTAAGGCTCTCGTAAATTTAGTAGAACTTTACAGATTGTATGGCAGATGGTAAGAAAGACACATTTATTAGTAAAGGTTGCAGACCTCTGGTTTAGTGCTATGGTGCACATTGAGTGTGGGTTAGGCAGCTACTGGTCATGGTTTGAGTTAGGCTACATAAATTAATGCTAAATGGACCACACTTGTATAACACCTTTATTTATTTTTTACTTCTGCAAGTTCTGCAAAGCACTTCAGAGTTTTTCATTCAACCAATCGTTCGGTGCTTCACTTACAGCCGCGGTGGCTTGGCGGTCAGTGCCGTGGTCTTGTAATCCTGAGGTTGTGCGTTCGAGCCCAGGTTGCATGAGGAATGGCATCCGGTGTAAAACAATTGCCTGATCTTTCCTGCGTTTAATCACTGTGACGATCCCTGAAGAAGGGAGTAGCCGAAAGAAACTTACTTTATATATTGCATCATGTAAAACCACCACATGGAACTAAGAAGGATCGACAACACAAACGTCTGTGTGTGATGCCTATTTCAGTCAGGAACCAACAGTAAATGTTACACACAACTAATAGTCTGACAAAACAAATTAATTCAAAAACAGACTTAGAGTAATGTACATTTTTTCAAATTCTGCCTTTAAATATTTCAGAAGGTTGATTAAAGGTTTACACTAATCAGATATATAGACTTTGTTGTCTAAATTAGTTAAAATGTTTTCATTAGAGAGACAACCCACAGATGTCACTGATACAACTTGAAACAGACAGAAGTCATAAAAGGAACACATTTCCTAGAGATCATATAGTCAAGTCAATTTTATTGTCGTTACCATCACATGTGGTTCATGAGGTGGAACAAAATTATGTACACAAGGTCCCAGTTACTGTTACATATAGAGTTACATAGTTACGTACACAGTTACATATATGGTAGTATACGGTATGTGTGTGTATATATATATGTATGTATGTGTGTGTGTGTGTGTGTGTGTGTGTGTGTGTATGTATGTATATATATATATGTATATGTATGTGCATATATATGTATATATTACACTGAACCAAAATTTAATGCAAAAACTTGTTTTCATTAGTTAATTTTAATTTTTATTTGTATTACTTTCATCAGTTTCAAGTTATTTCAGTGACCTGTGTATTTTTTTTTTTCTTTACCAAAAAGGGTTGAACTAATTTTCTATGAAAGAAGAATGGCTTATATACTGAGCATAGCAAAACATTAATGCTAATCACTTAAACCCATATATATTAGCCCGTCTATTTAATCGTCGGGTTTTAACAATAAGTATAAAACCAACATCAGCTGACTAATGATGCTTCTGCTGTCAAATCACCTTCACTGAAATCCTGACCATTGTCAGTAATTGGTTCATTATTTGAAACCTCAGATAACCAGGAACTGTTTTCTGAACACCAGGAGTTATCAAATTGAGTGCCTTTTTATTCACTATTCATTGGTCAATTAAGTACATAAAAAATAAACTAAAAACTACGTAGATCATCACTATAAAAACAAATCTCTTTCTGTATACAATCCTGGTGAATAAAACGTTGCTTTCCATCTTCTGACCTACAGTGGTACTTGAAAGTTTGTGAACCCTCTAGAATTGTCTACAAAGTATATTCCTGCATAAATACGACTTAAAACATCATCAGATTTCCACACAAGCCCTAAAAATAGATGAAGAGAATCCAGTTAAACAAATGAGACAAAAATATTGTACATGAAAATGTGGAAAATATGTAATATTGGATCAAAACAGTCCATGCTCAATAATCCAGGTATACAATCCAACAACAGTTTCTTTTTTTTTGCTGAAACGTTTCACCTTCCATCCGGAAGGCTTCATCAGTCAAGGAAACACACAACACAAAACTGATTCTTCCCCCAAACAGCTGATTCCGAAGTGGAACAAACCAGTTATGTTGGTGCTAAGATGGTGTCTTTGGCACGCCCCCTCCTCTGGAGCCGGCCCTCTTCCTCGTCGACAGTCATGTCAAACTGGTTCAAAACCAAAACAGTCCATGCTCAATAACGACGAGGAAGAGGGCCGGCTCCAGAGGAGGGGTCGTGCCAAAAACACCATCTTAGCACCAACATAACTGGTTTGTTCCACTTTGGAGTCAGCTGTTTGGGGGAAGAATCAATTTTGTGTTGTGTGTTTCCTTGACTGATGAAGCCTGCCGGATGGAAGGTGAAACGCTTCAGCAAAAAAAAAAACTGTCCAGATGACGACTGAAAATTGTTGGATTGTATACCTGGATTATTGAGCATGGACTGTTTTGATCCAATATTACTTATTTTCCACATTTTCATGTATAATATTTTTTTGTCTCATTTGTTTAACTGGGTTCTCTTTATCCACTTGAAGGACTTGTGTGGAAATCTGATGATGTTTTAGGTCATATTTATGCAGAAATATAGATAATTCTAGAGGGTTCACAAACTTTCAAGCACCACTGTAGCTGAGCAGATATTTTTGCACTTTAGATGATTTCTAACATTATGTGCATCGTTTGTGACTGCAAATTTAGCTTGAAGGCCTTTGTGTTTTCATTTTTGGTTTTCTGAGAATTGTTTAAATTGGGACTTTTTTTTAAGTAAATTTAAATAATGACTGAAAAGTGTTCAGCAGATTTAGACAGTGATTTTTGCTGTATCTATTTGCATTTCATGAAGAAATAAAGTTACATAAAAGAAAAATACATTTTCTGCAAGTTCATTTTTAAAACAGATATAACAGATGTGGTATTCTACCACAGAAGCTCCTGTTGCATTTTTAACAATATAGTGGTGTCAAATAGTGTGCTAGCTCAATCATCGAGGTAGATAACAACAAAAAAGGTTAAGTCGTTTCATCTAGACCAGTTTCTTTAAGTGAGAAACGTTTCGTCTCCCATCCGGAGTATTTCATCAGTCGGCCTGCCAACCAGATCTGTCCCATAGCCTTCATTGCCGTGTTTCAAGCCAACCTCCTTATGGACTCTCAAAAATAGGCTTTTAACACGTTCAAACAGCATACAATCATCCAAAACAATCAATCATCATGAACAACAATCAAATGTTTTAGGCCAGATGGCCAACTTGCTACTCACAGAAACAGCCTGAGTATACCAAGGCCATAGTTGCAGGGGTTGTGTTTTCCCTGGTGTCTGGCTCCCTCTTGTGTTTTGTATTTGTCTTGCTCCCTCTGTTGATTTCCTTCTGCACCTGTGATGCATCACAGGTGTTTTGTGTTAGGTCTCGTTAGTGTTTGTATTTAAGTCTGTTTGTTTGCCTCCCTCATTGTCTGGTCATTGTCCTTGTGATGCCTAGTCTGCACCTCGTGTTCTGCAACCCTCCTGGTTTATGTAAGTTTGCTGCTTCGCCAGCCTTTTGTTTGATAATAACACATTATTTGTTATTATCCTCTGGGTCTCTGTTAGTGATGGTGAGATGAAGCTTCATGAAGCAATGAGGCTTTCCAATCAATAGCTCGACTCATGATTCGACGCGCCATGGTGCTTCATTTGCTCTACTGCGCCAAGTGAACTATAAATGTAAAACTGGTAGATGAATTATAATAACATAAATGGTTTGTGAAGCTTTAAGTTGAATAAAAGAAAAATCATGTTTTGTGAGGACCTCAAATAAATAAAGTCTAAATTTGATCTGCAAATGATCTTAATCTGTCTTTATGATGATGGTGATTGATTTTTTTTCTGTCTGTCCCTTATATTTCGAATCTCGTGCATACAAACAAGCCAGTTCCTGAATCGGTCACGTGGTACGGCCCGCTAGTGAGGCCTCAAACGTCACTACATGCGTCATCACATGCCTCGAGACACGCTCCTCATAAATCCTCCTGGTTTACTTGACACGCTTCGAAGCCTCGACACAGAAGGACGCATCACTAATCTCTGCGGTCTGCCTGCACCAATGGGTCTCTGGCCTCGAAATTATCACAAAAGTGATTCAGAAAAAGGTTTGTAAGCTCAATCATCCAAATAGATGACAAAAAAGGTTGAAACTGGTCTGGTTGGCAGGCAGCAGACTGAAGAAGTCTTTCGGATGGGAGATGAAACGTTTCCCACTTAAAGAGACTGACATGATTTAACCTCGTTAGTATTGGTTAATGTTTGTGTTCTCACTTTGTCCTGCAGAGGTCAGATCTACTTCTTTGAGAGTTTTTGTTTATACGTGTGTATAGTACTTCTGTTACCTGTATTTATATGAACTAATGTGAAAAGTTTAAATGTTACACAATAATATTAAAAATACTCCCCATCTCTAGGTTTGAACCTTAGCAGCGCTTTAGGAAAAACATCTAGTGTTTACCAAAATAAAAGCTGATTTTCATGAGGGGAGGCTGAAGTAGTGTAGTGCCCTCTGCTGGACAGATGGTGATTGTCTACAGTTAGATCTTCCTCTTGTAATTTGTAAAACTACACAACTGAAGCATGTATAATAAGTTAAGATAGAACTCTATTGATCCTGCAGGAAATTGTTGAACATAATAGATCGTGCAGTAGTTATTACATGCTGCATTCATTCCACCATAATGTAAACTGACTGTATTCAGTGTAACAGCAGTTTTCTAAAAATTTTCCCTGCCATCCATCACAGCATTTCCTTATTAAATGTGACCTCCAGGACAGATGATCATTTCTGGTGCTTGGCTTGCAGTAGATTTGTTCAGTGTTTCTGCATAAATTAAGATCAAATTAGTGCAGCCCAATTTCTGGGGAATGTTTGTGTTCGACATCCTGCATTCATTCCCCACTTAAAAATGGGAGGCATTAGACTTTGATGAACACTAACAAACTGATAAAGGGGAAAAGGGAGAACCTCTGATTTTCTTAGATCCTAATATCAAACACTAATCCATTAGCTTCCACTTGTTCTGGGGTTGGGTCACGGGGGCAGCAGTTTGAGCAGGGAGGCCCAGACCTCTTCCACAGCCACCTCTTCCAGCACTTCAGGAAGGACTCCTTGTTCCCAGACCAGTCAAGACGCTTGCCACCGTGTCTTGGGTCTTCATCAGGGTCGTCTCCCAGTTGGACATGCCAGTAAAACCTCCCTAAGATGCCATCCTCCAGAAACACCTCAACAGGTTCCTGGCAGCAGCTCTCTCCAGATAACTAGCCCGTCCAGGGTCAGTGGAGGTTATCTCGTCTTCTTCAGAACATTTTGGCAGGAACACGCATATAAGGTAACGTTCAATAAGAAATGAAGGTCAGACATTCATTCATTCAACCTTTTATTTATACAGGTTGAATGAAATGAAGGTCAGACATTCATTCATTCAACCTTTTATTTATACAGGTTGGTCCCATTTGAGCCTCGGGGACTCAATTTACGAGAGACCCGATTTTAACAAAGAGTGATGACAACCGTGAACAATCATAAAGGAAGCATACAAATTGAGAAATAAAAGGAAATGGGATATATATATATATATATATATATAAACCAAAACAAGTTGTAAAGTGATGTAGAAATCTAAAAACAGGAACATGTCTGCATTGGTTTTTGCCAGGAACTTAACAGATGTTTAAAGCCACTTAAGCCCCTTATCCACAGGGCCGGTTCTGGTGGGATCTCTTTTTTTCTGTCTCCACAGTGCCCATAGTTCCCGTTTAGTGGGTGGATTATTAATATCAACGCACCTTACCAGCTGGAGGCGCTAGTGCTACATTAAGCACTTTTCTAAGCATCACTAACCTTCTACTCCGCTCCTGTTTCCTGGAATATCTTGCAAAAAGATCTGAAGCTCTCGACCTTGACCGCTCTAAAGCCCCTTATCCACAGGGCCTTTTGGAGCTCCTATGTAACTAGTTCGGGCCGATTGCGTGGTTTATCCACAATGCCTTCAGTGGTGGAACCCACCCCATTTTTGGGACCTACTTCT